CCCGTGTTTTGGGGTGAAACAGGGGGGGATTGGGTTTGTTGGAGCGCCGGGGGTGCCCGGGCGCGGCGCTGGTGGCCGGTGTGGTACAGAGAAGCCGGCTTGTTTACTGCCCGCCCGGGCTCCGGCCCCCAGAGTGCCTTGGGGGGGGGCAGGGGGGGCTTTCTCCTGCCCTTGAGGATATTTTTTTTTTTCCTTTTTTTTTTTTTTTTTCTTCTTGGTTTTGCTATTTTCGGGAGGTTTCGTCCGAATGTTTTGATCCACTGAATTCCAAAAATGAACTCGAAAAGAAAAGAATCTCAATAAAAGCGATGGGTTAGACGGAGCCACCTGGAGTGTGTGGGGGGACACGGGTGCAGGGGGAATTTGGGAACTGAGGGAATTTGGGAACTGAGGCACTGGAGATGGAGAAATTGGGGTACAAGGGAAAGTGGGATGTGGGGGAGCAGATAGGGAGAAAGTGTGTGGGGGAACAGATACGGGGGAAACTGAGGCACACCGTCCTGGAATGGGGGGGATTTGGGAGTGGGGGAAGTGGGAGTACAAGGCAGAAATGAACATTGGGGCAGCAGCTATGGGGGAAATGGGGTTTTGTGGAAATACTGAGGAATGGGAAAACAAATGTGGGGGAAATGAGCTCGGAGGAAAGCAGGGTGTGAGGGGATACAGGCACAGGGGGAGATGGGATGGAGGGGGAGATGGGATGGAGGAAGGGAACGTGGCTGGGGAGCTGAGGGATGGAGGGAAAGGGGCACAGGGCAGGGGGGTGGTTACAGATCTGAGGCACGGGAGCATTTCTGGCTTACAAAACTGCATTTATTTGGGGTGTTCAGAGCTCGGGGCCCCTCTGGGCCCCCCCGTCGGCCTCGGGCTGAGCCTCCTCCTCCTCCCCACGCCAGCTGGCGAAGGCCACCTCCTGTGCCAGGCGCTCCGGAACGGGCACAGGGGGAGATGGGATGGAGGAAGGGAACGTGGCTGGGGAGCTGAGGGATGGAGGGAAAGGGGCACAGGGCAGGGGGGTGGTTACAGATCTGAGGCACGGGAGCATTTCTGGCTTACAAAACTGCATTTATTTGGGGTGTTCAGAGCTCGGGGCCCCTCTGGGCCCCCCCGTCGGCCTCGGGCTGAGCCTCCTCCTCCTCCCCACGCCAGCTGGCGAAGGCCACCTCCTGTGCCAGGCGCTCCGGGGACGGGCGGCCCAGCGCCAGGTTCCGCAGCGCGATCAGCGTCATCAGGGCACTGCGGGGACAGCGGTGGGCACCGGGGGCACGAGGGGACAGGGGGGACAGGGGGCAGGGGGACTGACCTGCGGCGGAAGAGGAAGAACTTCCTGCGGAGGAAGCGCCGCAGGCGCTGGGCCGGGCTGGATTGGCGCTCGCGGCGCTGCTGGCGCTGCTCCCGCCGCAGGAACAGCGACACCAGCGGGTCCAGAGGGGCCCCCGCGGGCAGGGGCTCCCCCAGCAGGGGACGCAGCTCGGGGGGCAGCGGGGACTGTTCTGGGGGGGCAGAGGTGGTGCGGGTTAGGGGGTGACTGATTTCCCACCCCCCCGGCTCAGCGACGGGGATTCTGGGGGTCCCCGTGATCCCCCCAGCGTGGTGATGGGAACGGGGAAATGTCGCCATCTCCCCACCCGAGTGACAGGGACTGACTGTCCTTGTCATCCTCCCGTGCTGTTGCTCACCAGAGAAGGAGGTGACTGGAAGTTGGGGACCCTGCTGTCACCCCCACCCCAGTGACAGCGACTGCCTTGATCCCCTCAGCCCGCTGCTCACCAGGGGCTGAGCTGACGCAGCTTTTGGGGTCCCCCAGGGCATGAGGCATGGGGGATTTTGGGGGTTCCCAGGAAGCAAGGCCTCAAGGATTTTGAGAGCCCCCCAGGCATGAGGTGCCGAGGGTGTCTGGGGGTCTCACCGGTGCCGTTGCGCACGCGCTCCCGCAGCTCCCGCAGCCGCGTCAGCTTCTGCTCCAGCTCCAGCGCCGTGGTGTTCACGTACAGGTACATGTAGCACGAGGGCTCGGGGGACACCGTGTGCACCTTGTGGTACTGCCCCGCCGGCAGCTGGGGGAGCGAGCGGGGTGTCAGCACCCCCAGGCACCCCCCAAAGCCGCCGGGGTTCCCCCCGAGCCTCACCTGCATGGCCTGGCCCTCCTGCAGGGAGTGGTTCTGCTGCTGCTCCACCAGCTCCACCAGCACCTGCCCCCGCAGCACCCGCAGGCTCGTGTTGCCCAGGTCCTCGCTCACAAAGTTCTCCAGGTGCAGGCCTGGAACAGCCAGGCTCTGTACCCCCACCCCAAACCCCGCTGTGCCCCCCCACGTCCCTCCAAGCCCCAGGTACCCCCCGTGTCCTCTACTCCACGCTCCCACTGACTGCAGGGACCCCCCTGTACCCCAAAACCACCCCCAACCTCAGGATTCCCCCCACGCCCTGTACCAGCCCCTGAACCCCTGGGACCCTTTGCTCCCTGTGCCCCCCACTGACCCCCACGCCCTGTACCAGCCCCTGAACCCCTGGGACCCTTTGCTCCCTGTGCCCCCCACTGACCCCTCCGTGCCCCCTGTACCCCAGCCCAGGAGCCCCGGCCTCACCGGGGAAGTCTGCGATGAACACGGTGTCCGTGTGTCCGTCCAGCTGCGCCTCCAGCTCCTGCAGCCGCTGGCGCCACGGCGACAGATCCACGAGCAGCGGGAGCAGCCACGGCGTGGGGGTCCACGGGGACCAGGGGGCACGGACCAGGTCCACCCGGGGGTCCACAAGCCTGAGGGGACAAAGTGTCAGGACCCCGCAGAGCCCCCAAATCCCTTGGGTGTCCCCAAACCCCTGCTGGAAGTGACGGTGCTCATAGCACAGGGGACCTTAAGAGCACACGGGGTCCACAACACGTCCGGCTGTGGGGACAAGCCACCCCCTTGTGGCACCCCCACGTGTGCCCCCAAACCCTGTGCCCTCTGTAACCTCAGCTGAGAGCAGCAGCAGCACCCACAGCTCCCCCCGTGTCCCCGTGTCACCTCTGCTGGAAGCGCTCGTTGATGGACACCCAGACGTCGAAGTAGATCTGGGGCTGGCTGACGTTGTAGCGCGGCAGCAGCCGGCTCAGGCAGGCCGAGTACTGCTTCAGCATGTCGGCGTGGTCCCGCCAGCGCCGGCTCTGCGTGAACGCCTGCGGGCGCGGGGACACTGAGGCACGGGGACAGCAGCACGGGGAAACTGAGGCACAGAGACACTGAGCCATGGAGATATAGGGATGGGGAAACTGAGGCACGGGGACACTGAGGTACAGAGATATAGGGATGGGGACACTGAGGCACGGGGAAACTGAGGCACGGGGACACTGAGGCATGGGGACAGCAGCACGGGGAAACTGAGGCACGGGGACACTGAGCCATGGAGACATAGGCACGGGGGAACTGAGGCATGGAGATGTAGGGACGGGGAAACTGAGGCACGGGGACACTGAGGCACGGGGAAACTGAGGCACGGGGACAGCAGCATGGGGAAACTGAGGCACAGAGACACTGAGGCATGGGGACACTGAGGCACGGGGGCACTGAGGCACAGGGACACTGAGGCATGGAGACATAGTCACGGGGAAACAGGCACAGGGACGCTGAGCCACGGAGACACGGAGGCACAGGGACACAGGAATGGGGAGAGGCACGGGGACAGCAGCACGGGGAAACTGAGGCACAGAGACACTGAGCCATGGAGATATAGGGATGGGGAAACTGAGGCACGGGGACACTGAGGTACAGAGATATAGGGATGGGGACACTGAGGCACGGGGAAACTGAGGCACGGGGACACTGAGGCATGGGGACAGCAGCACGGGGAAACTGAGGCACGGGGACACTGAGCCATGGAGACATAGGCACGGGGGAACTGAGGCATGGAGATGTAGGGACGGGGAAACTGAGGCACGGGGACACTGAGGCACGGGGAAACTGAGGCACGGGGACAGCAGCATGGGGAAACTGAGGCATGGGGACACTGAGGCACGGGGGCACTGAGGCACAGGGACACTGAGGCATGGAGACATAGTCACGGGGAAACAGGCACAGGGACGCTGAGCCACGGAGACACGGAGGCACAGGGACACAGGAATGGGGAAACTGAGGCACAGGGACACTGAGGCACAGGGACAGCAGCATGGGGAAACTGAGGCACAGGGATATCAGCATGGGGAAACTGAGGCAATGAGGCATGGGGAAACAGGCAATGAGGGACAGGGGAAGTGAGGGATGGGGGGAATGAGGAACAGGGAAAAACGAGGCACAGGGGTTGTTCCCTGAGTGATGAGGAAACATGGGGAGAAATGAAGGCAACAAGGGGAAAATGAGGATGGGGAAACAGGCAATGAGGGATAGGGGAAATTGAGGGATGGGGGGAATGAGGAACAGGGAAAAACGAGGCACAGGGGTTGTTCCCTGAGTGATGAGGAAACATGGGGAGAAATGAAGGCAACAAGGGGAAAATGAGGGATGAAGGAAACTGAGGCCCACGGGGGAAGTGCCTGTCTTTGGGAGCACTGGGGGGTCGCTCACCCCTGGTTTCAGGTAGCCCACCTCCCCGGTGAGCCCGTCCCTGTAGGTGATTTTGACGTGCTGGTGGAAGCGGGAGTGCACCATCATGTCCCAGGAGTAGCCGTAGAGCCCGTTGGTCCAGTTGTTGTAGCCCTGGGGACACGTGGGGGGGTCACAGAGCACAGGGGTGTCCCCACCCCAGGGGACGAGGAGTTGACAGGGATCCCAAACCTCCCACTAGCCCCCTTTTACCACCCTAAATGCCCCCCCAGCCCCCAAACTGCCCCCTCTATGCCCTCCCCAGTCCCCTCCCTGTGTCTCCCAAACTCCTTCTCACCCTCCTGAGACCCCCCCCTTGAGCCCAGACCATCCCTCCCCGTGCCCACCTGGGTGATGAAGTGGGAGTAGGGCAGGAAGAGCTGCTCCAGCACGTAGAGGATGGTGAAGGCTGCGGCCATGTGCTGCCGAGGCCGAAGGCCCCCCCGGGCCCTCCGGCCCCCGTAGTGGCAGTCGGGGCTGGGCTGGGGGGGCTTGGTGCTGGGCAGCCAGGCCTGCAGCCAGGGGGGGCAGCGGGCCACGAGCCCCCGTGGCCACTCGGGCCGGCAGAAGAGCCCGTTGGTGGCCAGCATGGTGTAGGAGAACATGCCTGGGGGGAGGACACTTAGGGACCCCCACTGCACCTGGGGGTGGGGGGTGCCCCTCTTTGGGATTGGGGGAGGGGGGTCCCTGTGCAGTGTCAGGGTGTTTTGGGGTGTCTGGGCACCCCTGTTTGAGTTTGGGGGGGTTTGGGGGCTGTGGAGGGGGGAGCTCGCCCTGGTTGGGGGTGTTTGGGGGTACCCAGGGGTCCCATGTCCGGGTTGGAGATGCTCTGGGGGTGCCCTGGGGGGGGTCTGGGGGTGCCTTTTCCCCCCTCACCGATGCTGAAGAGCTGGGAGTTCATGCAGTGGAAGTAGGTGACGAAGACGAGGGCGAGGGGCCGCGTGGCGTCGAAGAAGAGCAGGAAGCCGGCGGAGAGGTCGAGCACCAGCCCCCCTCCGTGCACCACCAGCCGGCTGGTCAGCTCCTCCGACAGCACCAGCCTGGCCACGGAGCCTTCCTCGGCATCGGCCCCGACAGCACCGGCCTCAGCCTCAGCGGCCCCGCCCCAGCCCCATCCCATCACCTCCCTCAGCTTCCTCCTGCTGGGCGTCACATTCCTCATCCTCACCCCCAACCCACCCCCTGTGCCCCTCCTCATCCTCACCCCAAACCCACCCCCTGTGCCCCTCCTCATCCTCACCCCAAACCCACCTCCTGTGCCCCTCCTCATCCTCACGCCTAACCCATGCTCTGTGCCCTCCTCATCCTCACCCCAAACCCCCCCCCTGTGCCCCCCTCATCCTCACCCCTAACCCATGCTCTGTGCCTGCCCCTCCTCATCCTCACCCCAAACCCATGCCCTGTGCCCCCCTCATTCAAACCTCCTTAACCTCATCCTCCAACCCTATAACCCATCCCATCCCAATCCCATCCCGTTCCATCCCATCCCAATCCCATCCCATCTAATGGATCCCATCCCACCTCTCATCCCAGCCCCACCTTCATCCTCATCCCCTCACCCTCCTCACTGTGTCCCCTCCCCGTCACCCCCTCCCCATCCTCACCTTGGGCCCCTCAATTCCACTGCACCCTCATCAACTCCCTTCACCCTCCTCATCCTCACCCCTCACCCCCCTGACCCTGGCCCCCTCCCCTGCCCTGCCCTGACCTGAAGGGTGCAAAGAGCGAGTGCCGGGCGAGGGTCCCCATGGAGAAGCCCCCGACCCAGTCGGCGTCCAGCTTCTTCAGCCCCGCGATGAAGTACACGATGAACACCTGGGGGGGCAGGGTCAGGGGGGCCGGGGGTGGGGCAGGGACACCCACCTGGGCACGCAGCAGGGCGTAGTTCCACAGCGGCACGTGGGCGTTCCGCTTCCGGGGCCGGAAGAGCCCGTCCACGGAGCTGGGGGGACACGGGGGGACAAGGCCACTGTCAGTGTCCCCAGTGTGTCACCCACTGCCAGAACCCTGGGGACGCTCTGGGGACAGAGAGCCAGAGGTGGCACCTGGGTCTGTCCCACCAGGTGGGTACACAGTGCCACAGGGGTGTCCCCTGGGGACACAGCACCATGGGGACCCCAGGACCTGTGCCACCCGCTGGGGACACCATGGCCTATGCCACCCCATGCCACAGGGATCCACAGGACCTGTGCCACCCCCTAGAGACACCAGAGCCACAGGGGATGATGCCAGGGCTTGTGCCACTCCAATGCCATGGGGGTACCCAGGACCTGTGCCACCCCCTGAGGACCCAGTGGGGTCTGGGCCACCCCACTGGGACCCTAGTGCCACAAGGGACCCCAGAACCTCTGCCACCCCATGGGAACCCCAGCCCCGTGTCACCACCCTGCTGCCTCACAGAGCCCCAGTGGGGGATCCCCAGTGCCCCCTGTGTCCCCAGGGGCTCCCCGTGCTCTGGGGGTCCCCGCAGCCCCCCCGGTGCCCACCCGTAGCGGTCAGCGCCCAGCAGTGCCAGCTGGAAGCCCAGCAGCCCGTAGAGGTAGGAGTGGTTGTTCCAGGAGGTTTTGTCCAGCAGCAGCAGGTACCAGTAGGGGCACAGGAACGCCACGCAGCTCAGCCGGTAGCAGCAGCCCAGCATGATGCCCAGCGCCCCTGCGGGCACAGCAGACCCCTGGTGTGCCCCCTGTCCTCTGCCTGCTCCAGTGCCACCCCCATTTCTGTCCCAGTGCCATCCCGTTCTTATCTCAGTGCCATCCCTGCCTGCCCCACTGTCACCCTCATTCCTGCCCCAGTGCCACCCCTATTCCTGCCCCAGTGTCACCCCCATTCCTGTCCTCATGCCACCCCTGCCTGTCCCAGTCCCATCCCCCTTCCAGCCCCAGTGTCACACCCGTTCCTGTCCCAGTGCCATCCCCATTCCTGCCCCAGTGTCGCCCCCATTCCTGTCCTCATGCCACCCCTGCCTGTCCCAGTCCCATCCCCCTTCCAGCCCCAGTGTCACCCCCGTTCCTGCCCCAGTGCCATCCCTGTTCCTGTCCCAGTGCCATCCCGTTCTTAGTGCCATCCCTGCCTGCCCCAATGTCACCCTCGTTCCTGCCCCAGTGCCAACCCCATTCCTGTCCTCATGCCATGCCCACTCCTGTCCCAGTGCCATCCCTGCCTGCCCCAGTGCCCCCCCTATTCCTGCCCCAGTGCCACCCTCATTCCTGTCTCAGTGCCACAGTGCCACCCCCGTTCCTGTCCCAGTGCCACCCCCATTCCTGTCCCAGTGCCATCCCCGTTCTTATCTCAGTGCCATCCCCGCCTGTCCCACTGCCACCCTCATTCCTGTCCCAGTGCCATCCCCATTCCTGTCCCAGTGCCACCCCCATTCCTGTCCCAGTGCCACCCCCGTTCCTGTCCCAGTTCCCCCCCGTTCCCCTCCCCGTACCCAGGAACATGACGGTGTAGAGCAGGTACATCCAGTCCAGGGGCAGCGGCGCCAGGAAGGGCAGCAGGGGGAAGCGGCACACCTCCAGCCCGTCCAGGTACCGCTGGTCCAGGTGCCCGAGGCCGCGCTCCTGCGGCACGTCCAGGGCCATCAGCAGCCCTGGGGACACGGGGGTCACTCGGCCGGGGTCACTCGGGCAGTGGCCGCAGCCCGGCCGGGCGCTGACCCCTCCGCCTGCCCGAGCCCAACCTTCGCTCCGGTGCTGACGTGTCACGGCCGGACGCCGCCGGCCACCGGCATGGGGGACCCCCGGCTCCCGGCCCCGAGCCCCGAGCCCCCCAAGGTCCCGGTGCCCCCGAGCCCACGCAAAGTCCCGGTCTCCCCGAGCCCCTCCTCGCTCCGTCCCTCGATGTCCCCCGGTGTCCCCCCGTGCGCGGTCTCCCTGTCCCGGTGCCCCTCACGGCCCCTCGGTGTCCCTGTGCCCCCGGTCTCCCTGAAGCACCTCCCGGTCCCTCCCGGTCCGTGCCAGCCTGTCCCAGTGCCACCCCCATTCCTGTCCCAGTGCCACCCCCGTTCCTGTCCCAGTTCCCCCCCGTTCCCCTCCCCGTACCCAGGAACATGACGGTGTAGAGCAGGTACATCCAGTCCAGGGGCAGCGGCGCCAGGAAGGGCAGCAGGGGGAAGCGGCACACCTCCAGCCCGTCCAGGTACCGCTGGTCCAGGTGCCCGAGGCCGCGCTCCTGCGGCACGTCCAGGGCCATCAGCAGCCCTGGGGACACGGGGGTCACTCGGCCGGGGTCACTCGGGCAGTGGCCGCAGCCCGGCCGGGCGCTGACCCCTCCGCCTGCCCGAGCCCAACCTTCGCTCCGGTGCTGACGTGTCACGGCCGGACGCCGCCGGCCACCGGCATGGGGGACCCCCGGCTCCCGGCCCCGAGCCCCGAGCCCCCCAAGGTCCCGGTGCCCCCGAGCCCACGCAAAGTCCCGGTCTCCCCGAGCCCCTCCTCGCTCCGTCCCCCGATGTCCCCCGGTGTCCCCCCGTGCGCGGTCTCCCTGTCCCGGTGCCCCTCACGGCCCCTCGGTGTCCCTGTGCCCCCGGTCTCCCTGAAGCACCTCCCGGTCCCTCCCGGTCCGTGCCAGCCCCGGTTCCCCGGAGCCCCCCCGGTGCCCCGTCCCCGCTGACCGAAGGCTGCGCGGAAAGCCCCGAGCGCGGCGGGGTCCTGCGGCCGGTGCAGCAGCCGCACGAAGCGCTGCCATCGCGTCAGGTCCCGCAGCTCGAAGCCCAGCAGCCGCCGCGCCAGCCCGGGCCCGGTACCGGGGCACTTGGGCGACCCGGTGGGGCTCGGGGGAGGTTCCGCCGCCTCCTCCCGCTCCGGCCGCCGCCGCCGCGCCGGGCCTGCCGGGGGTCAGGGGTCAGCGGTCACGGCTCGGGGGTCTTGGGGGTCCCCGGGGTTTCCGCGCCCCCCGCCCCGCTCCGCACCCGCCGCCGCCGCCGCCGCCGCCATCGCCGCGGCCCCGCCCCGCCGCACGTGAGGGTCCGGGGCCGCCGCGGGAGCGGAGCCGAGCGGGGCCGGACGGACCATGGTGGGGCCGGGGCACCGGGGAGCACGGGGGGCACCGGGTGGGGTACGGGAGGGGCACCGGGGAACGGGTACGGGGGGCACCGGCGGGCACCGGAGGGGGGTACGGGGGTCCCCGGGATGTGTGGGGTCACCGGGATGTGGGAGGCGGAGCAGCCGGGGTGATCCCCGGTGTCTGTGGGGTGCAAGGGGGTGTCCATAAAGGGTGAGGGGCGCCCTCGGGGTGCTTCGGGGGTCTCTGGGGTTTCGGGGTTCATGTGGGGTCGGGGGTGCCAGGGGAGGTGCCCAGGGTGCACACGGGGGGCCCTGTGGGGGCACCTTTGGGGTGTCTGCGGGCCATGGGGAGCACTCGGGGGGTGTACACGGGGCACCCACGGGGTGCTGGGGTGCCCACCAAGGGGGGCTTGGCGGGTTCCTTTGGGGTGCCTGGGGTGTTTGGGGGGTGCCCCGGGCATTGATGGGGTGTCTGTAGGGTGCTGTGGGGTGTTTATGGGGGCACGGGGCCACCAGGGTGGGCGTGAGGTACCCTCATCGGGCAGGGGTCACCAGGGTGGGCATGGGGTCACCAGGGTGGGCATGGGGTCATGGGGGTGTCCGGGATCCACCTGGGGTCCCGGGAGTGTCCCTGACCCTGCCCTGTGCCGCAGGCGGGGGTCCCGGGGGGGTCCCTGACCCTGCCCTGTGCCGCAGGCGGGGGTCCCGGGGGGGTCCCTGACCCTGCCCTGTGCCGCAGGCGGGGGTCCCGGGGGGGTCCCTGACCCTGCCCTGTGCCGCAGGCGGGGGTCCCGGGGGGGTCCCTGACCCTGCCCTGTGCCGCAGGCGGGGGTCCCGGGGGGGTCCCTGACCCTGCCCTGTGCCGCAGGCGGGGGTCCCGGGGGGGTCCCTGACCCTGCCCTGTGCCGCAGGCGGGGGTCCCGGGGGGGTCCCTGACCCTGCCCTGTGCCGCAGGCGGGGGTCCCGGGGGGGTCCCTGACCCTGCCCTGTGCCGCAGGCGGGGGTCCCGGGGGGGTCCCTGACCCTGCCCTGTGCCGCAGGCGGGGGTCCCGGGGGGGTCCCCGGCGCTGGAGGCTGGCGCGGGGCGCGTGCGGGCGCTGCAGCAGGAGGTGCAGGGCGTCACCACCATCATGAGCCAGAACGTGGAGAGGATCCTGGCCCGGGGGGAGAACCTGGAGCAGCTGCACAGCAAGAGCCAGGACCTGGAGGCCACGGTGAGGGGGCACAGGGGGCATGAGAGGGGGCACAGAGGGGGCACGGGGTACCCGCATCGGGTACGGGGTCACCAGGGTGGGCACAGGGTACCCACATTTGGCATGAGGTCACCAGGGTGGGCACAGGGTCACCAGGGTGGGCATGAGGTCACCAGTATGGGCACGAGGTCACCAGGGTGGGCACGATGTCACCAGCATGGGCATGAGGTCACCAGGGTGGGCACAGGGTCACCAGGGTGGGCATGGGGTCACCAGGGTGGTCATAAGGTCACCAGGGTGGGCACAGGGTCACCAGGGCGGGCAGGGGGTCACCAGGGTGGGCACACAGCTCCCTGAGGTGACCCACGGTCCCTGAGGTGGCACGGTGTCTCTGTGGTGGTCCCAAAGCCCCCAAGGTGGTTCAGAGCTCCTGAGGTGGCACTGGGTGCCCAGGTCAGGGGACACAAGGTCCCCAAGGGAGAACGGGGACACCCAGGGCGCCCAGTGGGATGGCGTGGACCCTGGGGGGTGTCCCTAGGGTGTCTGTGGGGTCCCCAGGGCTGCAGTGGGTGTCCCCAGAGTGGCAGCAGAGGGTCCCCAGGGTGGGCAGGATTGTCCCCAGGGCGGCAATGTGCTGTCCCCAGTATGGCATGGGTGTCCCTGGGGTGTCAGGGCAGCCCCCATGGTGTCAGGGCTGTCCCTGGGGTGGCAGTGTGCTGTCCCTAGTGTGGCATGGGTGTCCCCGGGGTGTCAGGGCTGTCCCCATGGTATCAGCCTGTCCCCGGGGTGTCAGGGCTGTCCCCAGGGTGTCAGGGCTGTCCCTGGGGTGTCAGGGCAGCCCCCATGGTGTCAGGGCTGTCCCTAGTGTGGCATGGGTGTCCCCGGGGTGTCAGGGCTGTCCCCAGGGTGTCAGCCTGTCCCCGGGGTGTCCCCCAGGCCCCTGAGCACTGTCCCTGCAGTCGGAGCACTTCCGCACCACGTCCCAGAAGATGGCCCGGCGCTACTGGTGGAAGAACGTGAAGCTGCTCGTCATCCTCGGCCTCGTGGGCGTCATCGTCCTCATCCTCATCATCCTCCTGGCCACCGGCACCATCCCCACCTAGAGCCACTGTCCCCACGGGGACACGGCCACCCCAGGGCACAAATACAGATGGGGGAGAGCCAAGGGACCTGTCTGTGTGTGTGTGGGGGACACAGGGGGACATGGGGGACACAGATGGTGAGATGGGCATGGGGACATGGGGGGACACAGGCATGGGGACATGGAGGGGACAGGCATAGGGACATAGGAATATGGGGGGACACGGTGGGGACAGGCCCCAGGGATGTGGGGACACTCACGTGGGGTCACGAGGGGGACACGTGTGGGGACACTGGCGTGAGGGGATGCATGGGGGGGTGGGGGCCGTGCCAGGGCGCCGGGGGCCGTGCCAGGCACCGAGGGACAAAGGACATTGTGGTGGCACTGCCACCCTCGGAGACTGCGGGGAGGGGAGAAGGGGAGGGGCAGGGACAGGGACATTGGGGGGTCCCCAGGGACCCGGACACGGGGGGTCCCCTGGGAGTTGGGGACACTGACATCTGTGGGGTCCCTTTCCTGGGGGACAGGGCAGTGCCAAGGACACGAGTCTGGGTGTCTTGGGGACAGGGGGGGCTGCAGGGACAGGGGGATAGGGGGACAT